TATGTGACGTCATTTTGTATCACATCTAATGCAATTCATACAATGTTTGAATTTAGATTATCCTTGTAACAAGGAATCCCAGGGACTGTTGCATATCTCTTCATGCATGGCATGCGACTGTAAAGTTCTTAGAGCCATGCGATTGGGACTATTTAGTCGATCGTTTTGTAGAAGGCCAGGGTAAGCATTATATTTTTTACCGTTATAGCGCCACCAATATATATTCTCTACCTGAATATGAATATATGACTGCATAGCATAATTTGAATAATTTCAGTTTGTCTTCAGCGTCGATTTGCCTCTATTGTTATGGCTGTTTATATATATTCAATAGCATACACAACACACAAATATATCATATACAGGTCATAATTGTGAAATGTGGGTCTGAAAACATGTGACTCTGAAATTGGGTCTGATCTCGAACATAAAATATAAAACAGGATAGTAAGACAAAGTCGTCACACTTATGTAAAAATATATGAACACACTTTTCGAATCGATATTTACGATAGTTAGTTTAGTTTCCGTCCAGATTACCTGATATATCAGCGCAAATTATCAACTTTATCCGTCCATATTATAGGTTTAATTAATATTTTCTCAAATGCACTGTCATCTGAGTGAACCATTTTGCTTATCTAATTATTTATTCTAATGGCGTATGGCTGTTTAGCGCAAAGTAATACATTATACAATGGGATTGCTAACATAAAAGTCAAACCAACATAAACTTAGCCGTGGGCCAACATCACCTATTTTGTTGACAGACATAATTGACACCAAATAATTTACCATTTTATTTGTTTTATTATGACCACCTAGTTATCTGGGGATGTTGGTTCGAACACTTGGCAGACTGGCTTAAGTTGAGCGGTAGGGACAACTTCCTGCATTTGAAGTACGAGGACATCAAAGAGGTATGGATAATAAAAAGAAGCGCTCTCAAGCGACTAATTAGTTATGTGTCGACAGTTAACAGAGACGGGCGTTAAGACAGTGTCCAGATAGAAAACTGTGTTGCGTATGTCACTTATAAAATTGCAAATCTCTAAAATTAGTATTTGTTACAACTATAACGCTATACTGTATATATTGTTATCCCGTAACGAGCGGAAAATCACCCTTCCCAGGGTATTATATTCGAATATGCCCACATGCCTTCGGATGTGGTTTGTCTAGTTTGTAGACGTGGAAACTTATGATACACCAATCTCCATCCATTGAGCACTGCTTTTTCATTTAAATACAGGATCGCCAAGGTGCATCGGAGACAGTTGCTAAGTTCCTTGGTTACGACTTAACCCCCGATGAGATGAAGAGAGTCGTAGACCATACCGATTTCAATAACATGAAAGAATATATGAAAACAGTAACACAACGTGACGTGTTCCTACGTGAAAATAGACATTGGCAACGCAAAGGTAATGTTAGATCGGTACTTCAATCAGTAAATTATATTTTATTACAATTAACACTACAGCTCAATTACACTCGTGGTCTATGTATGTGTTCACAATGTGTGTGTTCGGTCAGTTGAATATTGACTAACAAAACATGTAATACAAGTATGTACAGGTATGCATAATTGATAGCATGTCGAGAGCTGATTGCCTTCTCTTACCTTATATTGGAATAAAAATAAATATCTCGGTGACAGACTGTGCTGTTATATAGACCAGTGCTCAGTCAGTGTCAAACAATCAGTTCGCTCGAAACTTGAGCCGCCCGAATACATGGTGACATAGATGAAAGACTATCTAATCGAAGCTGAACCAGTGCCCCCCCCCCGCCCATAGAATGCCTAAATATAATATACACAACGAATATAAATAATGATTATGGTATTTGTCGGTTGTTTCGTCAGTACACTTCAAAAAAAAATAATCTAAAAATGTGTACTTTTTGATCGTGAAAATTACTGGATTTCTTTTGTTCTTGTGTTGCATTGTATTGTAATGTAATGTAATGTACGAGTCATTTTTCAACTGAGATAGTGATTATCTTAGATATCTGACAACAAGATATATCAATTTTTATGCTTGAAAAACACTTTTCATTTCATAATTCATTTTATTGAGCTAATCGCGCTCTAGATATTATTACACTTTATTAATTAATCGTCTCAAAATAATCTGTGTTCCAGGAATCGTGGGCGATTGGAAGTCAAATTTCACAGTGGCCCAAGATGAAAAATTCAAGGAATGGGAGCAGCGAAAATGTAAGGAGTATGGAATCGACTTCATGCAATACTACACCAAGACACCTAAGAAATAAAGATTCTCAACTTGGATCACAAACCCGACTTTATAGAAGTTACCTGTAAAGTGTGAACAACATATCCAATCAAATATCGTTGAAAACAATGCAAAACACAAAATAAAACAAGTCGTTGAGAATGACACAGTCCCCGCCCCTTTCTTTCAACCCTATTTTAATGTCTTAATTTACAATGATGTACCATTGGGAGAACATACATACTAAACATACTAAACAAAATGGGGTTTAATCACAATTTTACTGGAAATTGTTTGAGAAAATTGATTATTGATTTGATTATCTAAACTTGATACTAAAATTAGAAACTAATGCTGTCAATTTTTTGATAGCATCATCAAGATTCTTACATTCCAACATTACATTCGGACCTTTCAATGCCATTATTATCAACCTTGTTCGTGTAGAACATATTAAATAATATAGGTGATATTACACTTTGAGTATATTGCAAACACTTTTTTGTGGTGAACTTGCATGTATATAATATACGTTTTAGTGTATCATTTTACTTAGTGATATGAACAATAAATATTATTGAAGGGGTTCGTAAAATATGTTTCTGGTTGAATTCTTCCTCCAAAATGAGGTGAGGCTTTGTTTTACAGATTTTGCACAATCCGAATTTGTCAACAGAGGGCGCTGTTAACATTATACCTGATAATAATATACTGTACTTTAATTCAGATTGCACACTGGTTGCCAACTGCTTATGTACTTTTTGTAAAGTTGAAAATGAAACAATGTTATTACTGTATCTTTACTCGTAATTCCTAGACAACATTCTCGTGATGGTTCTAAAAATGCAATTCAAAATACGGTCCAGTATGCACGATATAATACTCGGTTCAAATAAGTTCTCCCAACTTTCAACAAAGTATCGTCTCGGTCTTGGTAAAATACATCTATATATGCTAAATGTAATCAATCCAACGTTTAATATTGGTATAGATGAATTTAGGAATATATCACAACAAAGAATCATATCACACAAACCGGTCCATTTCACAGGATTCAAGTTTCAGATATCCTTCATTTGCAAATAAACTGAATAAACAAACAAATTTCCCCCCTGAACGCAATCTGACCAATGTGATAAAATTATGACACTTTTTATAAGTAACCCTACTAGCAGTATATACAAACAAGCAAAGAACACTTTTCGTGAAATAAAAATTGCAAAATTATAAAACCCACCTGCGTTATTGGTTCCGAAATCCTCATTATGGGCTTCTGTTTTAAACGATTCTGATGTAATAGCTCGGAAATCACGTTAATAATATATAAGTCATGTGATAAAGTAACTTGTTTATGTAAAAGTGGTAGTGAAATTAATACTAATATTAACATTAATATTAATAATATTTAATAGTAATATTTAGCATTCGTTCATCTGCAATTGTTTTTGTAATCTAATAATATAATTATCCACATTCTCTGGGGTATATCTATATTGTGTATGACCTCAACAAATAATTCATGTCATTGAGATTTTTGGATCTTCCACCAAAAACTTCGTATACCTATTCCATTGCAAACGATGGAACTATTTGGATGTAGTGAACACATTAACTTTTCTTACCTTCTTTCTTTCATTGGCACGGTAATATCAATTATCAAAACTGCTAGTCAATAGAGCATAACGATGTTTGGCGGATATTTGATTCAAGAGTGACTACTTGAGATGTATAGCTTCGTGGCCATGTTTAACCCAAGCTGTCGTGTCTTATTACTCGGTGATATGAATGTGTCATGTAGACGTATTCCACGGTATATGAGGTGATTTGGTACCAAATGTAATCTTGGTGAATTATTACTAACGTTATCTTGTTTAATGTGTGTGTGTGTGCGTTACCGATGTTTATTCATTTTACACAATGTATCTGTGTTAATCAACTCACTGATCACCTTTAAGTGCTACTACACGCATAGAATACCCAGACAACATCTGCAGATAGAAACGGGGGATTATGATGGTTATTAAATTACCATCCTGATTACCCGCATGCACGCTCAAATGCAATTTGTCGCTCATCAGCTCAAGAAACATGCCTATTATAGTAAATTCTTACAATTGAAACTCCTTTCCAGTGACTGCATTATTCGTTGGGTTATTTACCTGCGTGTGTCCCTATAGGACGCGATAATGCCCGTTTTATGAACGTGACGTTTATAGTCAACAAAAATGGCTATTGCATTTCGATGACATGCCAAAATCCATCAAAAACCGATGCTTGCTGATGTTCAATTGTCAGATAAAAAAATAAAATAAAAGTATTTACAATTCAGAGGAAACGGACGTAAAATCATCCTTGAAGTCAAAACCTCTCGTGAAAACTGTCATGGCGTCGTGTTATCATTTCCACTGAGGGAGGGACACAGTGGATTACATAAAGCCGATGAGATATTCATACAGTTATATAAACATAGCTATCGCCATTGGGTGGGTTGAGTCTGAATTTACCTTCCCTCCATCCTTTAAAATAATACTATGTATGACGCAGTTTTTCTCGATCTCCGGGGAAATGGACCGTGCGGAGTTAGGGAGTTAGACGACCCAGTTGAAATGAGCCGTAACATGTTGCTATACAACGGTTATTCGCAGTTTTTACTACTGTATCGCTCAAACGCCGGCGAGACAAATTCGAAATGAACTATTGTAAATCGAGGCAGGTTTCATTAATATTCGGTTTTGTAACACCCCTTATATAATGGCCTTGGTCGCTCCATAAAATAATGGTTGCATCCAATATTAAAATATAGATGGCGGGCTACAGCGTTGATTCAGGTCTTATGCCACTAATTAGCCAAACACCGTTCGTATTCCTATGCTCTTAGTGTTTTTTCGAGTGATTTGTCTAGGTGCATTCCCACTACATAAAATGTGTCTTGTTTACCTCAGTTTTGTCCGAGTTTGAGTGCATTTCTTGCATGTGGTTGATTACTGGCATGTTAATTTCTCATTTTAGAATCATGTTGCTGACTTCGTTTATCATTTTCATATAGCAATCTGCATATATGTTAAAATTGTCATCTATGGAGTTTTAATAAAGTGAGATTTGAGCTACAATCACCTGTTTGATTAATTTTTATCTTCCCCAAATTAAAATTTTTGTTGAAATTATTTGTTGAAACTATTTTGGTTAAAATCACGAAAGTATTATTGCAACATTTGACCCCAATGACCCCAATCAGTCAAGGATGGCGTTTGGCGAAAGCACTATTCCGACAAAATGAATTTGAATTCTAAGTCAGGTCTAGTATTAATTTCTAAACTACATACCCAGTTATACTGAATTAAATCAGCAGTTCTTGAGATATCAGTAGTTAACATCAACATATACATGCATGCTTAGTAGTAAGATTCATTCTAGGAATATCATAATTGGGACTAGTAGCTTAACGTGTTGCATAGGTTGAAGTAGTGGTTAACATTATATAAGCTTATTCTTATTAAGATAAAAATACAAACAAACAAATGTGGAACTTACTAACTTTATAGATGCCTAAAATATTTAGTGTTTTAAATTGGAGGGTCGTGGGGGCACGAACATCTATAAACGTTATCAAACGATAAATTTTTCAAGAAAAGTGTTGTAGGTGTTACCCCATATTTCAATACAGTAAGTAATATGTGGTAAAATGAGAGAGTTGTAAAGCAGGATAAGAATAGATCGTGGGACAAAATGGCGGATTTTAGACAAAATACCAATTTTAAATGAAATCGTTTTACAAATGTGTTTTTTTTCCAATTAAATGTATTGTCAATTGTCACATTCAGGTACTAAGATGAGACGCCCTCTATAGTTTCATTTTGAACCGTAGCGTTACCACAAGTATTAATTGCTCCCTGAGGTGTTTTAATTAACATATAATTAGTTTTGTCCGTGTTGTCTGTGCACCAGTTTCACACCTTGAATTCGATATTAATGTTGTTGAGATCAATATCGTTATTCTTAAGAAAAGATTGGTTTCATCCGCAAAAAGGCGGAAATCGATGAAGCTGGTTAGCAACATCATTGGTGTAAAGGTAGAATACAATTGGACCGATAATCGATTCCTATGGAACACCGCAGGTGATATGTATGGGGGACTCGTGTCAATTACAGCATACTACTTGCGATCAAAGAGTTAGTTTGTAAACCATTGTAATACTGTGCCCCTAAATCCATGATTTTTCGTATCATATGTTTTTTTTCAAGTAAATAAATATGCCAATAGTTATATCTCCACTGTCCAGATTTGTAGCTATGTCTTTGACCAAGTCAGCCAGGGCAAGTTTAATATTTTTGGAGTATTTCGTAATTTTATATGAAATTAGTCATTTGTTTGCCGACAATTGTCTTATAAACCAATGATAGGGAAAATCGAAATAGGCCTGTAATTTCCTACAAATATACTGAATGGGTCCTCGTTTAAATACTGGAGTAATCCTGGTTATTTTTAGCCGGGGAAAATATTTTTTATAAATGAATTGCTAATGATGTGAGCAAGGAAAGCTGAGAAAATGAAAGGTGACCGTATTACAAGTTTTGAGTGGATTTGGTCGTTACTAATAGAATGTTTGGGGTCTAAATGATTCATCTCAATAAACATTTTCATTCTATTTATGACTAACTTTCTCAAGAATCTCAAGCATTTTTATAGTTTTTTGGTAGCTGATTTGCATAGTTTTTGGCAGATCCACTTCTCTTTAACAAATTCTCATCTGCACCCATCAAGGCGGTCCCACAAAAAAATCAAATCAAACGGTTTGCTGTTTTTTGAAAAGAAGTTATCCATCCACCAGATTCATCGGTCACGGATTTTTTACTAGTCACGGGTTTTTTACTGGTCGGTGTACGGTAAAACCCTTCAACTTGATATGACTGTTCGAAATTGTGCATGGCAAAATTTTACTGAAAATAACTCTTTTTATGGATTCTTGATTTACGAGACGAAGTTGTTCTGCATGGCAGCCGGTCGCAATGTCCGATTGATATCACGCACTAGCTTAGCCT